TGACGCCGGCATGATTAGTATGAATTTTAACAGTTATGCCAGTTTGGTTATATTTTTTTATCATTCCTGTTTTGTTTTTTATCACGAAACTCTACTTACTATACGAGTGTTAGCTATGTTTGATTTTTATTAACGTACATAAGCTTGCAATCTAACCGATCTTGAAAACCTTTAAAACTCGGACCCTCCATTTCGTTTTCTCTTTGAGAATTTTCGTTTCTGCTCACGTTCTAATAACGTCAATTACGGCACCTGGAATGTTTACAAACCTTTGTATGGTTCATCTGTTGCTACTTGCCGGTTCGCTTGTTCCGAAATTTCACTTTCAATTAACGAAAAAGAGCTCGAAAGAAGTCCCGGAAAAGGTCAGACATAGTACAATTTTGCAGATGGCGTGACAGCTTTAACTCAGCTTTATGCTCTATACTCTCTTAGAGGACGCTCTTTCAACCAATGACAGCACGCGTTATATCCGAACTTTATTATAATTGACATGTGACAAGTATTCCTCTTACCCGTCGTGATCCAAGGAACGCCATACCGGCGGCGATTTGTTTGGCAAACAGCACAAGATCGTAGTTGGTCAAACCCGGAGCTCTTCCCTCACCAGCATTTTCTCAGGTAACCAAGTGGGTGACCACATGGTGTGTACTCCATGAGGAGTATAGGGAAAACTTAAGTGATGTTAAACAAAGGAAAAGCAAATAAACACCATGTCAAGGCTCCTTACAAAAAAAACATTACTGATGTCTTTCTTCGTAGAGCAGTTTGGCCTACAGAAAGGACTCATTCTTTGGGATCTACCCTTATGAGAATATATTTTCAAAAATGTCCATAGGTTAAAGGGAAAAGCTGGTTAGCCCCGTTAACGAGATTTCAGGCTATCAGACCGTGATCTCAGTGAACTGTCGATGGATACACGCTCTCGAAGAAAAACAGACTGGCTGCCTCACAAAAAAAGACAACTTCATTCTATTAACATTTTAGTTACGGAACTCATGTTAACAGGTCCTAAGACGGTCCATTCAGTATTTGCAGTAT